TTTCCCAGAATCCTCCTAGACTCCTAGTCCCACCTATCTTGCTTCCCTATTGGTCAACAGTGCTTTATTTACATATACACAGAAGGACTTCCCCCATCACAAGGGTTAAGGGAAGAAGCAGGATTTGGGCAAAGGATGAGAGGGATAGAAGAAATGTCTGGGCCATATTAGGAATGTCACACTCTAGGTGCCAGAGACAAAGATCTTGGGTTACCAGAACTACACAGTACAGTCAGTGTAATGAAAGCAGACAAATTATAAGAAAGAGTGGATTGTCAACCAAGGCAGTTAAAATTTCAGGTCAAACATTCCTTACTGTACTATTTTGGCTTGGAAATTGGAGCCTTCTTTATTTGTGCTTGACATTAAAAAAATGGGCTTTTTTTTCTTAGAAATAAATGGTCTACTTGATTATAAGAAGCCCAGATGAGCTGAACTCAAGGAACCCAGTGACAGAGAGGGAGGAATGATGAGCAAAAGGGTTAAGACTAGGCTGGTTTAATCCCCAGAAACAGCTGACCTGAACAAGGGGTAGCTCTTGAATCCCAGACTGAAGGCTAGGAGGCCAGCATGGGACTGATCAAGACCCCCTGAATGTGGGTGTCAGTGAGGAGGCCTAAGCAATCTATGGAGCCTTGGGTAGTAGATCAGTATTTATCCCTGGCACACAAATGAACTTTGGGGACCCATCCCACAATGAGGGATGCTTTCTCAGCCTGGTCTCTTGGGGGAGGGCCTAGGTCCTGCCCTGGATGAAATGACAGACTATGGACACCCCCATGGAGGGCTTCACCCTCCCTGCGAAAACAAGAGGGTATTGGGGGGGTGGTTGGAAGGAGGGCATGGGAGGTGCAGAGAGAAAGGGAGAGGGACCTGGGATTGATGTGTGAAGCAAACTTGTTTCTAATTTAAATTTAAATTTAAAAATAAAAATTTTAAAAAAGAAGCCCAGATGCAGGGCTGGAGAGATGGCTTTACAGTTAAGAGCACTGGCTGCTCTGCTGGAGGACCCGAGTTCGATTCCCAGCACCCACATGGTGGCTCACAACCATCTGTGAACCCAGTCCTCCGGGATCCGACACCTTCTTCTAGTCTCTGAGGGCACTGCACACGCAGACAAGACACCCACACACGTCAAATGCATACAGTTTTTTAAAAAGAGAAGAAACCCACATGCTTGAGCACACATGTGCATCCCTGCACATACCTTATGTGCACATGAGTGCATATGTACACACACACACACACACACACACACACACACACACACACACGGGATAAGAAAGAAAAGTAAGTTAGTCCAGTTGGTGAAGAAGGTGATGCATGAACTGTGAAGTCCTCCCCCTCTTTCCCTGTCACTTAGGTCCCCTTCCTGTTTTGAGCGGTACACTTAGTTTATTTTTAGTTGACATACTTTAAGAATTAAAGTCTAAAAGACCCAAGCAATATATACTTTCCACGAAAACCAACGGAAATACATTGTAGCTGCCATTCATCAAATCCCTATTAGGTGCCAATATATCTTCAGGAGAGGCATTCATCAACCCCACGTCTGCAAAGAAGAGCGGATGGGGTACAGAAAATTGAACTTTCCCAAGCTCACAGAATTCTAATTTCTACAGAATATTTGCCTCCCTCCCTCCCTCCCTCCCTCCCTCCCTCCCTCCCTCCCTCCCTCCCTCCCTCCCTCTCTCTCTCTCTCTCTCTCTCTGAGTGTGTGTGTACAGGTATACAGAGATGGTTTATTTTTAGAGTCACCTTGACCGGATTAGAAATACCCACAAGACTAGGAGACCAAGAACGCTGGGTAAGTAGCCGGATCAATCCCTGGAGAGATTCATGCTCTGATGACATTCTAGAGAAACACTGAGATTAAAAGGTCCTACTTGGATAAAACAGGCCATGAAGTCCACGTGTCTTTGTGGGCCATGTCTTGACCTGACTCCCCTCTACATACCCACCTTTTCACGTTTCTTATTGACGTGCTTTCTTCCCTAAGATGTTCTTTCAAGTATTTTCATCACAGTAGCACAAAAAGCACACACACACACACACACACACACACACACACACACGTCCATCTTAGAATACCAGGATTTTTAACTTAAAGAAAGGAAGCAAATGAAAAAAAGAGAAGTTTCAGGTAGTTGGAGCCCTTATTCTGACTCCTAGAAAGGATCTGGCCGTCTGTCCAACCTCCCCATGCATTTCTGAGTCTCCTGATGGTTCTGTCTCTACATCCTGCCCTGAGCCATCCTTCCCCACACAGGGTTCTGGAATTCAGCTGCTGCTTCACGCTCTCAAATTGAGCCCAGAAACTTCAGAGCTCCCATTTACTGTTCTGCCCCGAACTTGAAATCTCAGGACCCTCTTCCTGAGATAAGCAACACCCTCTCCCTATGTCATAGACTCAGAACCCCAGCTTGACGCACAAGAAAGAAGAATTTATATGTAGTGACATATTATTTATAATTTATTGAAGCGTGCCTGAGGATTCAGAAAGCAAAGTCAGTCACAAGTCATAGAAGTCAGACATATATATATATTTGTTTTTAGAGACAGGGTTTCTCTGTGGCTTTGGAAGCTGTCCTAGAACTAGCTCTTGTAGACCAGGCTGGTCTCTAACTCACAGAGATCCACTTGCTTCTGCCTCCCGAGTACTGGAATTCAAGGCGTGTGCCGCCAACACCCGGCCAGACACACACTTTTGATCTTAGCCACCAGAAGCTAGGAGGTGGTAGTACACACCTTTAATCCTAGGACTCAGGATTAAGAGGTAGATGGCTCTCTGTGAATCCAAGGCCACGAACCAGATTGAATCAGTGTAAAAGAGAATATAGCCCACACATTTAATCCCAACATTAGGAAAGTATATAAGACAGAAGTAAGGTTTCAGAGAGAGGCATTTGTTCTCCAACCATACTGAGGAGAGGTAGCAGTTTGAGACTTGGTGAAGAGCTCATGGATCAGCCCTTTAAGATTGAGATAGAGTTGAGAGCTAGTGGTCAGCTACCTTGCCTCCCTGATATTCAGGTTGAACCCCAATGTCTTATTTTTCATTTTACATTTTATAGAAAAGAATTTTATAACAACATCTCAGAATTGTGGTGAGGTTGACATTTTCTGCAGTTAACAGAAATTCCAAACTGGATTTCAAGAGAAGGAAGAGACCAGTTTCTTCACCTGCAACATGACCAGGAATCATAACTTCATGTCTGACTTAAAGCTCGAGACAAACATCGTTTAAGAAAGAAAAGTCACGAAGTATGGTTTTCCACGTAAGCTTCCAAATGTGAGGAAGAGGCAGTGGGCACGCATTTAAGACAGCGTAAAGGCAGACGTCTTGACTTCTCAGTCCAGGTCAGCTTGTGTACCGTGGGCTTACAACATGCCTGCTCTGAGATCACGACACCTAAATAAACAAGTAATGTCGCTGCCCACACACTTCCCAGACACAACGGTCTGCTGTGCTGATAGCTATAATTTGGAGACAGCATTCTACCGTTGTCGAAGGTTCTCTGACTTATGTCTGACCTGCATCCAAAACGCTTCTCCAAGATGGGGTCTTTCGTTGTCTTAATGCAACATCCGGACCACAAGACAAATCTAGAAATCTTGTAGAAACCCATGTTTGCCTACACACTGTGGTTATATATAATGTACCCACTATTAGCATTTCAAGTAAGACAGGCCCTGTGCTAAATGCGTAGGCATCTCAACTGGTCTCAAAATCAACCTGCAAAAAAAAAAAGATACACCTCTCTCGGGCAGGAGTCAGAACAATGACGAAACTTCCTTAGGGTCACATGACTCCAGTGTGGCAAAGTTGATAACCCGGAACGCAGAACATGCAAGCCCAAGCTCAGCCAGCCAATAGCAGCACCATAGCGAGCGTTGAGCTGCTAAGAAAAGCCATTCTGGTCCTTTCTCCCTGGTCTGCCTCTCCGGTGGAGTGCACAACTGTACACACACTCTTCCCCTTCTCTCCCTAGTACCTGCGCATATCTATTGATGAAGCTATAGCCAGTGAGATACTCCAAAAGCATCCCATGAAGGTTTCCGTGGCCCATTGCTTTCCTTCCCGCTCATGGTGGTTTTATAAAAATAGGATGCCTGACTCAATTTTTTTAATTCTTGCTACCACGAAAAAATGATAAGAAAACTGCAGAGATAGAGACTTGCAAAAACTCTAAATCTTGGTAGTAATAAAGAAAATGTAATCACCTATCTGTATGTATACTGCTGATAAAACGAATCACAGATATTGACAAGGCCTGAGCCTCTACTTGCTTTGTATTCTTTTTTGCAGCCAAAGATATCGCTAATACAGGATTACTGTGCTGTCTGAGGACAGAAAGGGGCTGGGGGTGTCAGTGGCTTTAAAAACTATCTTCTAAACGTGTTATGTAGACCCTTTTAGGAGCTCAGATGAATTCTTGAAAACTGAGTCTAGATCATAGCGATCCCTGAACGTGACATTACAGGACACATTCCACGGACCAGACATTACCGCACAGGACACATTCCACGGACCATAACTGAAAGAATAAACGACTATTGAGTGACTATGCCCTTGGAACCAAAATAAATCCTCGTCTGTGTAGTGCTTGATCTTGACTGCTAGCTCGAAGGGACTTAGTATCACCATGGAAACAAACCTCGGGCGTGTCTGTGAGGGACTTTGGGGTTAAGGATGTGTGCTTAAGGACCGCACAGAAAGGGGGTAGCAGGCTGCACACCAGTGTTCACAGATCTCAGCTTCCTGGCCACAGATGCTATGTGACCAACTGTTTCATGTTCCTACAGCCACGAAGGACTCTCCCTCTCCCTCACCCTCTCCCTCTCCCTCCCTCCCTCCCGATCTCTCTCTCTGTCTCTCTCTCTCTCTGTCTCTCTCTCTCTCTCTCTCTCTCTCTCTCTCACACACACACACACACACACACACACACACACACACAGTGGACTGTGGCATTAAACTGTGAGCCAGAATAAATTCTTACCCCTTAAGTTGCTTTAGTCCCAGCAACGCAGAACATGACTAATACAACAGCTTTCGGCAGCCATTGAGCTGAGTTTAACACACAGTACCAGCGATGTGGCAAATCCCAGAGACACGACAAAGAGACGCGGACTCCTCACCACCAGGGTTTGCAGTTCACACGGGAGATGGAAACGCTGCTTGGATGCTATGATGGTGTGATTTTTAAAGCAACTGAGAAACAAAATGGTGTAGTTTTGTCAAAACGGGGAAGGGGGGTACATCATGGTGACAAGGACTGGAAAAATAATACAACAATCACTTACAGAGGGAGGATCTCAGAGGATCTCCGCTGGTCTTCCTGGAGTCTGTCATATCACAGCTTAACGTTTTCAAAATGCAGACAAGTGGAGGTTGGAGAATTAAAAGCTACTTGTATCCCTCGTACCCAGCAATCTGAAGTTCCTTCTAATTCTACTCTTCTAATTTACCACAGATTATTTTTATTGGACCCTAAACAACACAGAGATGATAATTCCTGTAAATATCCCGAAGCAAGTGTTGTAGAGAAGAAACTGCTCAATACTAAAGCCACACAATAGCCACAAGTATGAAATATTATAGCCCGTCACACAGAGAGAATGCCAAATTAACAGCAACTATAAAATGCCGTGATTTGATTCAATTTGAGACCCGTAGTTTGTAATGCTGTTTCATAACTACTTTGGATAATTTATTTTGCTGTTTAGTTCCCTGCTGCTCCTTCCTTTGCCTAAGTACTTTGCCCTAAGTATTTTTCATTAATTTATAAATGTTTACAGCTGTGACACAAAAATAATAACAGTCACAGAAAAATGGATTACCAGTTTAAAAATGATCGATTTGATATCCCAATCAGTGCCAGGCACTGAGGAGTGGGAGTAACTTCGGTAATAAATAGACTTAACACATCCTAGCAGAGGTTACTGGTCTGTTTCTCCTCAAACCTCTTCTCACTGGGATTTTCCTCGGGTGTTGGCTAGATTTGGATCTTATCTCCATTTTGAACTTCCGGCTTCAAGTATCTGTATATCATGTGATGAACTTACACATCAAACATACACAAACACATATACACACATACCACAATAGCCACGTGGCATACACACACACACACACACACACACACACACACACTTATGAATCAAATACTAGTCTCCAATGTGATAGTTTTAGGAGATGGGGAATTGTGGAAGAATTTAGAAGACAGTTAAGGCCTCACAAATGGCAGTAGAACTATTAAAAACAAAAGGAAAGGAAAAGGATCGCCCTAAGAGTGTTAAGGTCACAGACAGAAAGCAACCATCTGTGGAATCAAGAAGCAGACCCTCTTCAAACACTTAGCCTCCTGCCCTGAACCTTCCTAACTGCCAGAACTGTGTGAAATCCATTTGAGTTGTTTCTAAGCCACTCAGTCTGTGGGAGTCTTTTATAATTTAGATGCACTAAGACACCCACTACTACCACACAGCCATCAATCAATCAATCAATCATTTGTTCTCTGTGACTCTGCATCTCTTATAAGGCCTCACTTCAGCTTTGCAGGACCAGGCAGTGAAAATTCTCAGCTGTGACAAACAGGTTGGTTAGCTCACTAAGACTGTCATAAAGTCATATCCCAGAACAGGCAGGCGGCTTACACAACAGGCATTTATCTTCTAGTAGCTCTGGAAGCTAAAACCACTGCAACTTTGGGCAGGCATCCACAGAGCTGGTTGCTCCCAAAGGCCACGAGGAAAGAGCAGTACCAGCTTCTGGTTGCTTCATACATGACCACCTTCTTGTGACGCTCCCAGACTCTATCTGTGTGTGCACACCCGTGTCTTACTCTCTATGTATTGTAAGGACACAAGGCAGGTCAGATTAGGACCCGCTGCACTGATATCACTTAACCTTATTACTTATTTAAAGATCTGTCTTCAAATACAGGTAGGATAACCGGAACAGTTACCAGTTTGTGTAGGCAGCATGGACTTGAGGCACAGAAATTAAAATGTCTTTCTTGAGCACCTAGAAAACCTGATTGCAGATGGATTCTCCATGCTTGCAAACCAAATGTGACCATTAATGACCCCATCAGGAAGGGTACAGAAACCCTGTGGAACCTACCACATCCATGTTGGAAGCTGTCCTGGAAGAGAAGATGACAGGGAAGCTATGCATCTTTGAGCAGATGAAATTCCTCATCACGGTAGCCTCCCACAGACCAAGAGATAGCCACACAACGGAGATAGGAAGGGGAGAGCAAGGATCAGAGAGGACTCATAACAGAATGGGAACATCTTAAAGAATCCGTGTGTGTGTGTGTGTGTGTGTGTGTGTGTGTGTGTGTGTGTGTGGTGTGTTTATGTGTGTATACTGTTCAGCATTGTTGTTCATTGTTGATGTTTATTCCTTGTGGCTCAGTATACAAGCAATGATTCAACAATTTTCCAGAAACCTAAAATCCCGGTACCAACAGAATCATAGTAAAGCACGATTATTCATACCACCAGGTTCAAATTGTCACACCATCCCTTTTCTGCACAATACACATTAATCCAAAAAGGGGCAAGCCCTCAGCCGAATTACTTTGGCCCAAATATATTTTCTGATCAACAATTTGCAGCAATGATGTTGCCAGGGAAGGATGCATCTCATTTCTGAGCTAGAGAAAGAAGGGAGGGAAAGAACCAGTAGCTTGTGGGAAGCTGGAATACTCGAATTGACTATTTGGGTGAAGGTACAAAGTCTTGACAATTGTTTAACCTGTAAAACACAGCATGGGGTTCTACGTATGGTACACTAGTCAGTAGCTCTTCATGGGTTGAGATACTCAAACCTAGGGACACTGCACAGCCTTCTTATCCAGTGTAGTTAGGATAATTAGTCACTTATGCAAAAGAAAACCACTGCATAGTCAAATACATTTGCCTTAAATAATGCATTTGAACAGAAAGTACAAATACATGTCTGCTCACTATACCTCTTTTCTAGTTAAGAGTTTTAGTTGAATTAATCAACTGCTCTGTCACTTTTAGTAAATTATACATGAGGTTATACCATTTGAGGATTTATAATTTGAAGGAAATGACAAAGACACTTACAGAAAAATGTAAATGTTGGAGTATCCATTCAGCATCTTTGTGCTGATTTTAGTGCCACTTAAATGTGAGCGTTTCACTCTAAGCTCGGTATATGTGAAATCATCATATGACTTGTAGTCTTCTGTGGGGGACATGAGGAAGCTACAGGAGGTGAGAGCCACAATTCTCCCCACATTCTACACATCTTGGTCTGCATTGAAATGGACCACAGGAGGCTCAGCACTCACTAACTACAGAATATTGAGGTTTTCATCAGAAGTAACATTGCTGGAAATTTGAAGGCTCAAAAATTCATGTCCCCTCAGCCTTAGATTATCTGGTGCTGTCTTAGGAGTTAAGAATCTGGTCAGAGAAGCTGTGCTTTCCCATTTTGTTCTTAGTCCAAATAACCTGGAGAACACTCTGTGTCTCCTCTCTGTGTTTCTAAGCAGAGACTTGGAAAAGGGACGGGGGCAGAGGACAACACTGGACCTCACGGTGGCATTGTTCTCTAACCCAGTGGGCAAACTTGGACCACACACTCATGGTGTAGCATAGAAGGCTTTCCTGAAGACCCTTGGGAAGGCTGACCTCAACAGAAACCTCCTTTACTCCTCAACTTCCCCTGGGATTTCTTAAAACGGACGTTCATGCTTGCCCCACTATAAATTATAGACACGCTTCTACTTCCATGAAAGGAAGGTGCCTCTCACCATCCAGTGTTCTGTAGGGGACCGTCAAGCTTAGCAAAGCAGAGACGCAGAGGGGCAATTTGAAGGGTATTCTAGGTGTTACTACAACAGACACCTTCCCATACTGGGCAACAAATCTGATTACAAATCCAATGGCTCCCAGCCCATTGCATCTAGAGCAGGCAAGTCCACTGAGTAGTCATCGGAAGGTAACTGCGAACATTTCTGGTGACAGATGACTGTAATTTAGATATGCCTCTCTAAAAGAATTCAAAGCACTTAGCATTACTGGGGCAAATGCCTCTCCGTTCCCATCTGTTTGTATGTATGGGTTTGTTCAGCCCAAGGAAGAGTTGTGGTGTCTGTATTAGAAAGGATAAGACCTGCAACATGAGATTGGCAGGACAGGAGAAGCCGGGACATGTGAGTCTGTTAAACCCACCTGGAGCTAACCTGCTCCCCAAAGCTAGCCTGTAGGTGTTCGGCAAGGTTGATAGAAACTGCCAAAGCTGAATTCAAATATTTAAAAATATCAAGTCTGAAATTCCGTGTTAGAGGTGATTTTTTGGGGACAGACAGGAGCAACCAGCTATAGTTTCCTACAGAGAGCTACATTGTTAAGAATAGAGGGGAAGACCCCAGAGGCCACTGGAATGTAATGCACACACCTATTGGGAAAACTCGGTGAATTACAAATGTCACCTGGGAAGATATATACCACCTAAAAATGCACACCTCGCAATGTTTTTGTCTCTCTGGAGTTAACAGACAGAGCAGCCCAGCAAAGCATTTCCCTTGTCATAGAGCATAAGCTCCTTCCCCTCTTTGCTCAAAGATATATCTTTGAAGGCTTTCCTAAGTCAAGTGGATCTCTCACACAGGGAGCCAAATCCACATGGATTCAGTGATGAATGCGAAGAAAGAGCTATATTGTTTTTATTCTCATCCATGATGGAGAGATGTGAGATTCCTATTCTGCCCCAAGGCACGGTACCCAGCCCACAAACTCACAGACAGCAAAGTGGGTGCGACCTAGCAAATTGGGGGGACCATGAAATAAAACTGCTCAGTCTAAAAAAAATCTTTCATCAGAGACAGTGGTGGCGGCAATGGCGTTTCAGAGTTGGCATCCGCCAAATGGAGAGGCGGCTGAGACTTGACGTCTCCGTTGTCTTCGGAAGACTTTTTAGGACCGTTTTTTATTTACTTCCAAACTCCATCTGAACAAGGTCAGTGAGGGGCCTATGTGGCTTCTATTTAGAGTGTTTCACGATGTAATTAAGCAGGCAAACAACTCGGAGCGGGGAAGCCAAGAGAAAGCACCAAGACACTCACTACCAACTGACGGGAGACATTTCAGACTTACAGTATTACCCGTTTTATTATAAAACTGAACTTCATTGCCATTTTGTCGTTAAGATGCAATAAGTACAAACTGCCTTGGTAATGACGGAGAAGGCATCTCAACTTTGATGAAACCTTTTATTTTCTACTCAGACTCTTAACATTTCCAAATGGTAACATAGACAGGAGAGAAATAATTACTCCCTGTGTTTGAGGAGGAGACTTCAGCAATCTAAAATGCCTTTGTTGTCGCGTGGATTTTAAGCCATGCAGATCAAAGAGGTTTCTGTTCATTTTATTTGTTTATTTATTTATTACCTTGTCTTGAAACAGGGTCTCAGGGCCCCACTGTGTAACTTCGTAGACCAGGCTGGTCTTGGAATCACAGAGATCTGCCTACCTTTACTTTCCAAGTGCTGGGATTTAAAGGTGTACTTGCATCCAGCA